CCCAATGAATCTGGATTCTAATGGCTGCCAATTTTGATGGTTTATGGTTAGAATAGAGTAAAACTGCGACTTCAGAGATGTTCCATTGGATATTCTGTGATGTAATTCTTACTCTGTTGTTTCAGAGATCGAATCACAATGTTTGATCACTATTTCTGAGTGTGGACGAGATGTTCGAAAAGCTTTCTTTTATTCGGTTTTTCTCTTTTTGAAGATAAAGAGGATGGAGAATGGTGGACAGTATGAAAACGGGCGGTACAAGCCGGATTACATCAAAGGGGCACAATCTATGGTAAGACAAATATTTGGTTTTATTATGTCGGATTGAAGCTAAGACAAATAATTTCTGTATCTACAGTGGAATATGCTTCCTCAGCATCAGATCAAGGAGCAACACAATGCGTTGGTGATGAATAAGAAGATTATGTCGATCCTTGCTGAGAGGGACACAGCTTTACAGGAAAGAAATCAAGCCGTCTCTGCGAAAAAGGAAGCAGTAGCAGCTCGGGATGAAGCGCTTCAGCAACGTGACAAAGCTCTTTCTGAAAGAGACAAAGCCTTGATAGAGAGAGACAATGCATTTGCTGCGCTTCAACACCATGAGAATAGTCTCAACTTTGCTTTGTCGGGTGGGAAGCGAAATGGCGGGGATGATGGTTTCAGTGTTGGAGAAACTCACAAACTTGAAGCCTTCCCTATATCAATTATTCCGCCTGAGGTAGCCAACACGAAGGTGAACAAAAGGAAGAAGGAGAACAAGCAAGGACAACCAAAGGTGAAGAAAGTTGGTGAAGATCTGAACCATCGAGTTGCTGCTCCTGGAAAGAAATCTAGAAAAGATTGGGACAGTAACGATGTCGGTTTAAACTTAGTCACATTCGATGAGACAACTATGCCAATACCGGTGTGCACATGCACAGGCTCTGCACATCAGAGTTACAAATGGGGAAATGGTGGTTGGCAATCGTCTTGCTGCACAACCACCTTATCTCAGTACCCATTACCGCAGATGCCAAACAAGAGGCATTCTCGGGTGGAAGGTAGGAAAATGAGCGGGAACGTTTTCTCGATATTACTCACTCGTTTAGCAGCAGAAGGATATGATCTCGCATGTCCCGTTGATCTTAAAGACTATTGGGCTAGGCACGGTACAAACCGCTACATCACTATCAAGTAGCCTCTAAGGTCAATAGTCCCAAGTATGTTCTCTTCAAAATTACTTTTTATTTATATCATTTATGTTTGGGTTAATTATGTTCTATTAAAATTAGTTATGAGGGTTTATGGGGTTTTAGGGGTCAAAACATTTTTTAGGGTTTAGAATTTTAAGATATAGGCTTTATAAATCTATAATTAGTGGCATTTTTGCAAATGGACATCCCTACGTGGCATTCTTGCAAATGTGTACACAAAAAATTGTATTTTTGTAATTGTCCCCGTTATCTATCATGATTGGGTGAATTGTTCACACTAAATATTAAATAAGGTTTTTTTTGAAAAAATAAACATATTAATTTATTTTAAAAGAAAATAGACAACAAACCAGTAATATTTTTGAAAAATAGTACCACAGAAACAATAAGCGCCAAAAATTAAAACGGAATGAATAGCAAAATATAACGACTTTAGATTTATAAAATTTTAACCAATCATTTAAAATAAATAACGCGGCAAAATAATTTCTTACTAAACAATAAATAACATGTCAAACAATTTAAATCGATTGAGTAGCGAAAATATAATGACTTAGGATTTATAAGCTCTTAATCAATCATTCAACATAAATAACGCGCCAAAAATAGTTTATTAGTTAATGACACATCAAAAGTTTGAATTGACTGAATAAAAGAATATAATAACTTCAAATTTCTAAGTTTTTAATCAATCATTTGTAATAAATAACTCGCCAAAATAACTAACTATTGAACAATAAATTATGCGACAAAAATTGAATTGACTAACAGAAAATTATAATAACTTAAAATGTATAAATTTTCAACACATTACCTTAAAACAAAGGATTAATTTTCGTATTTTGACTGAAAAATTATGTTGTTAACAAAAGTAATATTGAAATATTTGGGTATAAATATAGATGGTGTTTTAGAAGAAATAGAATCCATCAATCAAAATCCAAAGAAATTGCGACTGTAATTGTAAGGGCATGTGCAATGCTTAGTTCTTAGCCAAGTTCTTAAATATAAAATTATTAAAACACACACTTTCTCTTCT